TGAAAATTAGAATGATATAAATTGATGCTATCAGTGTCTGTGATACACATAAAAAATTTAGAAAACCTCTTTACAATCTCTTTAACAAGAACCACAGACGTCTGATTGAAAATTAGAATGATATAAATTTATGCTATCAGTGTCTCTGATACACATACAAAATTTAGAAAACCTTTTTACAATCTCTTTAACAAGAAACTGATACCCTGACAGTATCATAACCCATAAAAAATAAACACAAAGTATAAATATTCATTATTCGATAAAAATCAGATTTATGAGTGTTTTTCAAACAAATTGACAGGTGAGGTTTGTGTATCAGGGCCATTTTATACCTTTGTACTTTTCAACCTGGTATCCCTCTGTCAGTGATGCAGGTCAGAGGGGCTGACATGGAAAAAGTGTCTAGTCGTTGGGATGGGACAATAAATCAAGGCCCTGTGAGCTACAGGCTGTACCCGTTGAAGATCCCTCGACAGTTTGAAATCGAAATAGAATAGGCTAATGCGGCTGTCAGGACAAAATTTCCCTCATTGTACACTGCATGGTGTTGCCTGTCTTCATTAGTCCAATCAGGTGCAGAAAAGTAGGATGTAAAACTCCATTCATTTTAAACACCATATACATATCTACCTACTGTCTACCTGACACTTTTCCTCACTGCACACTGAATGACGTTGCCCGTCTTTATTAGCCCACATGGTACAGAAAAGTAGGACATTAATCCCCATTTCATTTGGAGTTTTTAAAAACAAAGGACTTTATTCATAGCAGGTTTCAGATTAGTGACTGTGGTCATCTTCGATGGACAGGGCTGATGGCAAATTGGCAATATACCGACTTAATACTGGAGTGTGGGTATGTTGATGGCAATATACCGACTTAATACTGGAGTGTGGGTATGTTGATGGCAATATACCTACTTCAATACTGGAGTGTGGGTATGTTGATGGCAATATACCTACTTCAATACTGGAGTGTGGGTATGTTGATGGCAATATACCGACTTCAATACTGGAGTGTGGGTATGTTGATGGCAATATACCGACTTCAATACTGGAGTGTGGGTATGTTGATGGCAATATACCGACTTCAATACTGGAGTGTGGGTATGTTGATGGCAATATACCTACTTCAATACTGGAGTGTCGGCATGTAAAAAGTAGCATTCAAGTCTCCATTTCATTTGAATTCATTTTGTCGTTTCAGGTTTCGGACAAGTGACGGTGGTTGTCT